GGACGTCCCCCTAAATCACGCAGGAGCTGCGTGGGTGATCACTCCGACAAGCTACTACGGAAAGGCTTCAGCTTCATGATTCTCACAGGTCAGTGTTACCTGAGAGCTCAGGCTACATTAATTCATCTCAAGTAAATGAAACATTGGAGTTTAACAACCTAAGCTGACCGATGCAAAACAAGAAGAAAATCATATTGTTCAAAAATGTCTACACTTTAATTTAGTTGATAAGAAGAGAAGTCAACTTATAATCAGTTTTTGTGAGAAGCAAATCAGTGTAGAAGGAGCCCTGCAGCATAATTATGGGAAAAACAGTCACTTCAGCGGCGCAATCACCAACTTCCTGTTTCTGCTTAACTATGAATTTACATTACAAGAATAAGGGCAACTAAAAATTCAGCTGCTTAAATCTGTCGGTATAATCAAAGTCACATTGACTTGGTAATGACAGGGTTCTGAGCGAATCACAGTCACAAAGCTGTGAGCTTTTTTTCCCCCCCATTCAGCCGATTCATTCAGGAGAAATCAGGTTCAGCCTGTGTTGAGCAATCGGCAAAAAGTTTCTGCCACACGGATCGGCTTTCGAAATGAATTCAATGCCACAGACACTCGGCTGTGGTGAATTCCAGAGGACTCAGCCTTTCATTTGCTCCGGGCCAAAGTGCATAGTCCTGTGATAAGAGATAATAGAATGGCAACATTTTAAGCTGACGACTGGTGCCAACCAGTCGGAAAGTCAATCAGAGTAACACTTCACGAATAAAAAAAGTTTTAACTAAAAAGTATACTGTGTTGTGTGGCAAGCTCATTTGGTATTCTGTTTTGTGGTGTTATTTTTACATCCTGATTGGAGCCCCTTCCTATTCTGTCATCAACACAGTACAAAGGACCAACTACCTCATTAAAAACACAATAAAGAGTTTACAAAGTTGTTAAGGCCAAGAGGAAAGTTCTGTGGTGTTGTATTACAGCTTAGAATATATTTGATACCAGACACTGTAGAAGCAAAATGTTAACAGAACATGAACTTTCAAACTTTTTTTAGAACGTGTAAATTATAAACAAAGCTATTGGAGACAGTCGGAATCATTCATCATCAAGGCTACATGTTGAAAATCTGAAATTAGAAGGCGAACATAATATCACATGTCACACGAGCTGGACGGAAATTTCAGTTTCATGTTACACCATCATCAGGCGAACTTTCTCACCCTCAATTCAGTCATTAACCTTTTCAAACACTGTGGGCCAGCCATGGGTCAGCGTAAGATTCTTGGTTTCTGTGCCATTTTTTAAAAGAAAAAACAAAATAATATAATTGCTGATTACTACATTTTTTAAATTATTTTTGTTAGACTTACAGAAAAATTGCATACACAATAAAAACTACTGAATTTAGTTGTAGTTTTTCAGTGTTTATTGTGCATAATATTATCATGTTTTGCAGTTCTGGTGATTATTGAGTGACAATGAGAGTACAACATGATGACATTAGCTAAGTCATTGAGTTGAAAGTAGTAGTCAGCCTTCAGTTTGACATGTCGCTTGCTGTTTTGCAATGGGAGTTTTAAAACTGTTAATAAACAGTGAAATGTGGTGTAAATTTAGTTTCCATGCCTTAGCTGCAGTGTCTTTCACACAGCTGGTTGGCAGTGCACAGCAAAAAAATGTCAGATGGAAAAAAATAGTGGGACTATAATATCAACTAAAAAAATGATAAAAGCGGTATTGGCTGGGATTACATAACTTTTCCCCACAAGCGGGTTTGCTAATAAAACCCAGAAAATTTGCAAAATTCTGTTTCCCACATACTAAACTAGAGTTTTGATGAGGCTGTTCAAGTATATCTAGGAAAACTTCAACTCTGACATTATCTCTGTTGTCATTAAATTCATTTGATATCACAACACTCTTCAGAAGCTTCTATTTGTAGCAACGGGCATTAGTAAAGTTCTGGCAGCCACCAAACCGCTTCAGAAGCTGCTCAACACTGAAACAGGGTTCACAAGAGGATAGATGCAAAGGTATAACAAAACAAAAGCAAAGACAACAGATGCTTGGACCACAGAAATTCTGGCAATAAATTAATGGCTGACTGGCAACATCTGTTCCTTTTATTGTCTGCGTTTGACCCTCAGGGTCTTCTTGCCTTTGTCTTCCATTTACCACTAAAGATTTAACAACTGGCAAGTATGAAGAAAGCGACAACTTCGATGTGCAGCGAAGTCGTCGCCTCACAAATTGTGAACGAAAATTTCTATAATTTATTGATCAAGTACACAGAGAAACCTCTGAGCACACAATAAATTTTAGATGAGGTTTGTACAATTCAGTGAGTCCAATAGTGACAGACAGCAAGAAAAAAAAGGCTTAAACGGCCAGAGAGACTGAACATATACAATAGTGCTGTACTGCATACTATGACTGGGAAACATAGATTTTCTTTTTATAACTTCACCAAGTAATTACCATTTTACATGTAATAACTGACGTCTACAGCTGTATGCTTTAAACTAGGCAGTAAAATAAATCCTACACTTGTAATCCAGGTTTTCTGAGGTAAGGTTGTATAAGATGTTCACAGATACACAAAAAGTTACAAGATGTTTTATTCTGACGTTTATTGCAATAATTCATTCCCACAATACGGATGATTTACACCCGTTTTAAAAACTGATGCATTTTTTTTTATTATTATTTTCTAGGATGTACTTATTCTATACTGTGAAAAATATGGTTACATTCCCATTCATTTTAGTTTGATCTGTGATGGTAATTTTATATACCTATGTCACCAGCTCAAAAGATGGATCAGAACTACAATCAATTTAAGTTATATCCATTTAGTTGTTTTTCTTTTGTTTGTAATATTTGAGTTTTTTTACAGTTATATCTATAATACCCAGACAATTCAAATGCTACACAATATTTAACATGGGTACAGAGTGATTTATTCAGGGTACGAAATAGAAATAGATTTAGATGAAATCGCAAAGGAACTTTACACATCTAGCATGTGGACAATCTTCCTTGACATTACCATCTGGAGCAAAACTAAATAAGTATTCATTCACCTGACAACAGCAAGTTGGAGTAAAACAACTCTAACTTGTTAAACCAAACAATAACAACACTAAACAAATGAGGGTTGCTCATCTGCAAAGAATGTAAAAACTAATATGTATACTTTGATTATTGACTTTTGGTCTCTAAGCAGAACTGGCCACTTATCTCTGCAACAATGACGTAGAGCCCCAAATGTTATGCTTTACCAGAAAGACAAAAATTAAATTAACTAAATAAATGGGAGCATATTGATGTAAAACTCTTCATTTTTAACTCTGTACAGTTACAAGTACTGCAATTGTAAATTATTTTGTATCCTAAATAACTCAAACATTTCCAAACAAATTATCTTTTTACGGATCCGTAACATATAAGTGTTCTATGCAAAAGTAAACATAGCCTCATTCTTCAAAAACATAACTACAAATTGTAAGTTTTGACACATATTATGTTCGAAGTATTAATCGCCCCTTAGTGCCCCCTGCTGGTCTGGAGTGATCTGATGCTTGTCTCTTGATAAATAAAATGTTCTAAGAGCTGTGACAATGTAAAGAAACAAAGCTATCATTTCTCACATGACATTTTAGCAAGAATATGTATACTGCTCCTTTTCACCTCTAGTATTTGGTGTATTCCATTTGCAATAATTTAACTGTACATAATTTCTTTTAAATTCTGAGCAAATCAGGACTTTTTAAAGAATATTTGATATTTTCTATGTATAAACCTTCTACGTGAATCCAATATTTACCTTATTATTGATCAACACAAATACAAGGGTGAAGTTTTTGACACATTCTGTGTGAAAGGATCAGCGCTCTAAGGGGCCATGTCTGGCCTGGAAGCAATAAGAAGCTGCTTGTTTCGCTTGTTCCTTGGGCCGGCTGCGTATCTAGTAAAAAGCACTGCCAGAACACATTGAGTCAATTATAAAGACCACTATATCAGTTAGTGAATGATTTAAATACTTTACCTCTTAGTAAAAGTATATTAAAACCAATTGGCACATGGAAAGCCACCACAGTGTACATATTTTTCTACACCAACATTGTAGAGCTCCGTATCTGGGACAATCTTGTGATAATCCATTACATCATGTGCCTAGCTTAGCCACCGTACCTCATAACCTCTGGTGCTGTCAATACATACCATGAAATATTCAACTATTTATAGATACCAAAAAAAAAAAAAATATGGAAGGAGTGTATCACATCAGAACCAACAGACTTAGTATTGCCTCGTGCTACAACTTGAGATAAAATGAGTCGACCAAGACGGTTTTAATGGAGCAATTAAGGCTAAAAGCCGGTAGGAAAAAGATAAGCTGAAAGTGCTGTTCGCACTGAAATCCAATATGCTTTGTAGCGTCTTGCTTGAAGACCACAACTTACAAGAAACCACAGCACTAACGCAACGATGAACTCAAAGTTAGTCAGAGGAAAATTATCCTCAGCAATTTCCGATAAACAACACTGGTAACTAAGTAACTTTACACCCGTGAGTTTAGTTCCCTATTTAGTGTTGTAAGTTCACTACATGTTTCGTTTATCAGTCTCCCACAGCACAACCGTGAAAAGAAGTAGCGTTAGCAGTCGCTCGATGAGTTAGTGAAGGTAAATCTGCTGCTAGCTTTAGCATGACATTTAAACTATTTAGAATTACGTAGCGATATAAAATAAATATCTCCAAGTGTCAGCCGAGAGCTGTTCTCTGCTTCTGTAATCCAGTCTCTGAGCTCTTCCCGGAGAAAACAGAGAAGTAACGTTAACTAGGTGGCCACATGCTGTCGCTTGATCTGCCATGCTGGCTCCTCTAAGCAAAGTCACTTGACCAATTTTACTTTTAGCTTGTTCGCAACGCTAACCCTTTTCCGGCCGAGCACATTTCGATCCCGTAGATTATAGAACAGCGTGTCTTTAAAAAAAAATACTTACAATCATGCACGTCGCTACCCTGGAGCGGTGTGTGTAAAAGCAGAGTTTAATTCAGATGTCTGTCTCACACAATGTCAGAGATCAGATCAGCAGCTGCTTCCTCCATACACGCAGCGCGCAGATCACACAGCGCACGGCAACGCTACCAAACCCCTCGCCGTCGTCATGGCAACAGGTCCACTTCAGCCAATCACAACCCCTCCCCTCCTATCTCCCCTGGCAACTGCCGCAGCGCTGGAGCGCCGCGAACGCGCACGCCATCCAGTTTTTTTTTTTTTTTTTTTTTTGCATCGTGCAATGTTTTTTTTTTTTTTTTGTCAGTTTATCTTCTAGCGCTCACAGCGTCCAGTGGGAGGAGAATGTGTTTTTAGAGCCTTTTAAACCCGCTTCATTGGAAAGCATTAATGGGCTGATTTGTCTGTTATTAAAGAGTGAAAGCAAAGCAGCCGGACGGGTCCCGCGTTATTCAGGGCACGCTGCACAAACACCTCCGGGCGGAGAGAAAGGATGTGTCACCGCGCCCTGCCTCATGACGATAGTGGACCCTCAATTGGGCCCCTCCTAGTGTAAACGATGATGGGGGCGGAGGTTTGGGGGGCATGACCCCTGGACAAACATGTGATAGACAAAATAACATCAAATTATTGAAAACAAATTGCAGCTCTCTAGAGTACTTCACTTAATTAACTTATTTTATCAATGTAAAACACGTTTGTTTATTTTTAAGTCTGAACAGGAGTGCCACTATTGCCCCTCAGGGAACTTGGCAGTTACAGGTTAGTATCTTAGCCTGGCTATCATTAGAGGGCAGCTTTACTGGCCAACTGACTTCACACCAAACTGTAACTTTCACATAATGGTGATGCCTTACTCATCTCAGCCACTCCATTTCATAAGCGCACATGAGTGGCTCTCTGTGAACTGATCTAATAGCCTCTCTGTTTTCTTTTAACCCCAAGTGCCTGCCATGCAGCGGCACCGTAAATACTTCTGAAACAGCGTTGGCGCACACGTTGCACTTCCTCTTCTCTGAACAGGACAAACAGGCTTGGGTAGCAGTGGTGTGTTTTGTGTCGCCATGTTAACATGAATGGCAGGAAGACAGCCTGAAAAATGTATGGCAATCCATTATGTTTTCTCAATTTTTTTTTCAGTAGAAAGTATTCATAGTGAAAAAAATCATATTTGAGAAAAGGGTGAATTGTTAAATGAAAGTGAAGACATTGTTTTGTTTTGAGGGTTTTTTTCCGTCTTTGAGCATTTGCATCTTTTTCTATTGAGCACTGAGCTATTCTTAGGGCCAGCAGGCAGCATCCAGGCTGCCCCATTTTTCTTTTCGTAACACTCCCAGGGATGATGATGAAGTTACAAAGCTGGCGAATGAGAAATAGGAGAGCAAGATGCATTAATCACCACGGAAACAGCTGATTGAGGATGACTTAAAAAGACAGACCCATTAGTCTGTGTCCATGCATTGGTGCTAATCTGATTGTGAAACTGTTAGGCTAAAACAACATAGTCCATTGACCACCATCAGTGAGTTTCATAGAGCTCTTTCTGATCTGTAAAAAAGATGGCAACTTCATGGTTATCATGCTGTACAAGATTAGCAAAATGAGAGTACGGTACACAGCTCAATTTATGTTAAGAGTACTATGAAGAAAAACTGAATTACAAACGATGAGCGGAGTTCATGGATGGCAGTAAAAGTGTGACTGATGAAGGGATGAACAATAGGGATGCTAGTCTGTGATGGAGAGTACTGACCAAGCATGAATAAGGGGGCAGTGTGTCTTAGAAGCCAGCCAACAGTGCCATAGTGGTCAGGAGGCCTGCTGCTTTAATGGTCCATAAATCTGTGTGGACTGGCTGGTCTGATGCTGCCCCTCTGAGATCCTCTCATGCGGAAAATGAATCACACCATTTTTACGGATCGTAAGTGTGGAAGCTCTCGCCCTCCCTTGCCCTGCTTCCAGCAAGCTGATAAGAGTGCTCCTTTTTAGCAGGCCTGCAGCTCATAAAAATCTCTATTAAAGACTACCTGTGTTTGTGCACTGTCCTTCATTCAGTCTGTCCTCCTGCCTTTGTTGTTCTTTCTTTGTTCTCTCTTTACACTTTTGCTTTCTGGAGTGTGAACAGAGACACTTTGGCACACAGTCAGTAATAGGGTGTAAAGCTCCAGGATTAACCACAGTCCAGCCGAAGCCCATTTCAATACACTCTACAGTCAAAAGTACTTCTAAATTTAAGCCAAAGGGACAGGTGTAGCACGACGAAAATTTTATGCATGCAACAATGATTGATTTAAGAAAATACTAATGAATAACTCACAATTGTACTCACAATTTGTACTCACTTCCCTTCACTCTGTTACTTCAAAAAACAATAAAAAAATATTTTTTTAATCTCATAAGTCAATGGTCAAAGTCAAATTTATTTATTTAGTACATATAAGTGCTACACATTTAAAATAATCAAATGAGATATAAGCAAAGGAAGTCATTACAAATTTTAAGAAAAGAAGCAAAAAAAGACAAACCAAAAAAACATAATTAGAGTAGCTAAATAGAGACTATTAAAACAGCATTAAAATAGTAAAAAAAAAAAAATGAGATAAATTTATTGATAAATCTCTTATTAGATTGACTATGAAATGGAATTGTTAAGTCTTGCTCTGAACTTTGAGCAATTCCAAAACCTGAACATGGTTTGATTTAAATACCATAATGATTGTTTTTGTTAGTTGTTTTGTTGGAAGTTGAAACTCCACCCCAGACTCAAATGTTTCACGCTTTCTCATGGGGTTTCTTTTCTGTCTTATTTTATCTTTTTTCTGTCTTATTTTATCTTCTGGCCAATTTAGTCATGGCCAGCTTCTCTATTTTAAGTGAAGAAAAGCATCTGTACAGTGTTATGCCATTGTTGCCACATTTTATTATGGGGACAGGATTTTGCATGAAAACCAAAGAGTTCAATTTCTTTAGAAAAATACTCTATCACTCATATTTATAAAAACAGTAAATTACACTGAAAAGATGTCACGTTGGCTCTGTGACCTAAAGAACTGGTATTGTGAAACATACTTTCACTTTGTTGTAATTTAACCAAATACTAGCAATTCATTAGGTTAGTTTCAGTTTATTTTTCTACTTCAAGATTCTCCAGAGTGCACTATTAAAAGAATTTCAGCAAACCAACAGACAATCTGATCCCTGACCTAATTAGGTTGACCCCCATTTGAATTGTGAAGTGGAAAAGATTCTCAAGAGGATTAGGGCGAACACTGAAGAAGGCCAGTATGCACAGGTGTGCATGTAGAAAAATGTAATTTGCATGTGTCCATTATTGCATGGATGCTTTGGGCATGTCATTTTCCTAGATATATGCATATTGTCAGGGTGGTAGCTGGCTGAGCAGGTGGTATTTGCATTCTTTCCACAACATGATGTACAACTGGCTGTGAAGTTTTGGAGGCTGCTCAAGGACAGGACACACTCCAGAGGTGTACAAACCACACATAATTGCTTTGGAGAGGAAGCCTCTCTTGTGAAGTGAGACAGCTCAAAGCAAGAATCTCATACTGCTTTTTTTTATCGTTAAGTGTCCCTGGTTAAATCCCACATTAAATACGTGCTGGCTAATTATAAGTTTTTAGTCTGAGACAGTAAATGTGAGTTGAACACACCCTCTAACTACAAGCAGAGCATTCAGGTGAGCTCAGCTTGTTTCCAATGTAACGCCTTGGCCTTTTGTTTCTTGGGTTTGTTTTCTCTACTTGTTTTCTCTAGAGGGTCTCCGAGCCACTGCCTGCAGTTATTCACAATTGAAGAGTATGTTTGCCTACAGAAGCCTTTGTTTGACTATCCTTTCTACCAGCCTTGTCTCATGAATTGTGTCAGCAGTGTGCTGATTGTCTGTTATCTGGCAGCAGATAAGTGCCTACTTTAACGCACAAGCAATAAAATCTAACATGTAAGACAGAGAAATGATCTCTTCCTACAGTCAAACAAATGTGCCATAATTCTCTATTGATTCTCGTCTGTGCAGATAAGGCTGGGTAAACTCTAGTATTGGCGAAACTACACAGCTGTGCAACTCTGGTGGAATTAACATGTAAACAATAGGGTTAACTTTAAATAGCTCATTTTAAAAATATTTAAAGAAGTGGTTATGTTACCTTTAAATTGCTAAAACTATTGATCTATAATTCTCCTTTTTCTCTGCTGCCCCAGAATAAAATCAACCCATACATTTTATAACCAATCAAATTCTCCTAAAATGTTTACAGCAAGACAAAGAAACACACCAGATAAAGTTGTGTCAGGATTAAGTTATCAAAAATGTTCCTTGCTTTGAACATATTATGGAGGACTCATCAGTTCATCATCAGAGAACAGAACGAAGACGTAAAGAAAAAGTTGTTAGTTCAGATGAGACCAAAACATTTTGGACTGTTATGCAAAATTCTTTGTGTGGTGGAAAACCACAAAACACAATGCTGTCAGCGTAAAACTGAACAGAGTAGAGTAGTCAAAACGTGTATTCAGGTAAAAGCAGCACTACTTCAATATGTCTTTACTTGAGTAAATGTACATGTAGTAAGCCAAGTAAAAATGTATATGGTTAAAATAAAACAAATAAAAATTAATACAAAGACATAATATTAATGCAAAATAACAATTTTGAATAGAAGAAACATTTTTGCAATTATTCCAAAGTAAAACTAAAGAAACCAAGACTCATGTTAATATATTGTGCTAGATCAGTGATAATATATACACAGTTTACTGTATTTCACTCCAATTGATACAACAAGCTCAGCAGATGGAAGAAAAAAACATTAAAACCAGATCTGCAACGGAATGGTTTCAATAAAATCATATCAATATATTAGAATGGCCTGGTCAAAGACAACAATTCCAGTGGAATTTAAGACCTAAATGTAATTAGAATCTGTAGCCAGAAATTGATGGCCAATGATGCTCCCTAGTCACTCTGATGGTTTTGGTCTATTTTGCCCAAAAATGATGCATAAAAAAATGATCTCAGGAAGCACAAAACCTCAAAAGACAGATTAAGCAAAAAGTGAAAAATAAAAAAAATGTGTATCCTTTTCTCTCCAGTCATACATTAGTTTAAGTTTGTCTGTCACATATAATCCCATTGAAATACATTCTGAAGTTTGTGGTTTTAAC